CCCCCCACTCCACTCCGCATTATCCCCCTTCCCTCCCCGCCCTATTGAAGACCCTCTTAAGATGGGCCCTTCTTGGCCACTCCTTTCAGTCCTATGGGTGTCCAAGGGCTCCAAGGAGATCAAATCTACTGGTTTCCAAGGCACAACTGGCATCACTACTATAGATGATGATGATGGAGTGTCTTGGTGTGAGTACACAAAGCACGTCAAACACAGTTCCACGTTCATGTGACACCGGAATGACGAAGTACAATCCAAAGAAAAGAAATTACGGCAATGAAATCCATCCACAGTCCCGTGAACCTCCAAGCGTTCCACCAACCTGATGCCCACGACCGCTAATGCGGAGAGCGCACGTCCTGTAAGAGGACTATTCTCATTGTACTCGCAGTATTTATCAGAGCAATCCGGTACGTAACTTGCGGTGAACTATGCCTCAAACAGACCGCACCAATCGGACAAAGGGAACAACCGGTACTGATCCCAGGTCCAGCAGGCTGTAGCTCGGACCGGTACTCTATTCCTATGTACGAAAAAACAGGCACCGGGCTGTCCTGCCCAAATTTCGAAACAAAAAACGAAACAAAAAATTACAAAACAAAAAAATTACCAAACTAGTCTGAAAGAGACCCTCAAAAAACAAAAGCAAACAGTACTGCCAACCGAAAAAATCGCTACTATATATACTCAGCAGCGTACCATCTGTCTTCAAGTTTTGTCTTTTTTGCTTCGTTTTTTCTTTCCTTTCTTTTGTTTTTGCATTAACAAGAAACAAAACACATCGTCTACAATTTGATATGGCTTGAGTGCAAGATGCTTTGCTGACACACCGCCCTCCCCCCCCCCAACAACAACAACAAAAAAAAAAAAAAAAAAAAAAAAATCTTTGCTGATACGTGTGGGACATGCTGTATTCACCCTGTTTGTTGTCTTCCTTTCTTTCTTTCCTTCCTCCCCCCCACAAAACCCTTGTTTCCCCCCTCCCCCACCTCACCCTCCTTCCACCTCCCCCAACCTCCTTTCCCCCCTGCGCCCTCTGTTCCTTCTCGTATTGTAAATTGTGATTGCCGGACAATCATGGCTAATCAGCATCAGGCAATGAGAGTGTGCTAGCCCAGTCAGTGCAGTGGCTACAGAAGGCTGCAGAGCAGGGAGACTCGCTTGCACAGAATCGACTCGGGACGTGCTACTCGAGGGGGGAAGGAGTTCCCAAGGACGATGTGCAAGCTGCAGATTGGTACCGCAAAGCTGCATCGCAGGGGAATTCGGATGCGCAGTGTAACTTGGGGTATTTGTATTCGCATGGCATCGGCGTGCCAAGGAACGAACCAGAGGGAGTGAAGTGGTACAAGAAGGCAGCTGAACAGGGCGATGCGAGGGCGCAGGCACATCTCGGATACTGCTACGAGCGAGGGGTCGGAATCGCAAAGGACGAAGTGCAAGCAGTGAAGTGGTACCGTAAATCTGCGGATCAGGATTACGTTCAGGCCTTGCACAACATGGGGTGGTGCTACGAGCGAGGGATCGGTGTTCCTCAGGACTATGCTGAGGCTGTGAAGTTCTACCAGAAAGCGGCCGTACAGGGATTTGCCGACTCCCAGAGCAACCTAGGGACCTGCTTCAGGGATGGCCTTGGAACTCAGAAGGACTTGGCGAAGGCCGAAGACTGGTTCAGGAAGGCTGCTGACCAAGGCCTCAAAGGCGCTCGCCGAAATCTTGGTTTCTTGCTTTATGACAAAGCCAAGGGTATGTTTTTGCACTGCGTTCTCTCTCTCTCTCTCTCTCTCTCTCTCTCTCTCTCTCTCTCTCTCTCTCTCTCTCTCTCTCTCTCTC